TTTAGGGAGCATTATAAATAGTTATGTTTTTAAAAGAAAAAAAACTACTTACATTATAAATAACACATTCAGTTGAAGTAAACTATGCATGCCTATTTAAATATATTTATACATGGGTTGTGTATATCGTATACATATATATTATTCATACCTTCGGTGTATAGGACGCAAACAGATTTTGACATCAAATTTTGGGGTAAAAAAGTGTCTTATACACCAAAAAATATGGTAGATGTCTTCAACTTGTCACCCATGTTGCACCAAAAACCAAGAAATCTTAATAATTTAGGAACATCAAATGACAACAGCTGCTGCATAGCACTGACAGGAGAAAGATGTAGCTGTTGAATCTTAGACTTCGAAGTACTTAACCATAGGTTTTATGTCTACTGTAATGAGATGTATCTTGAGTAATAACAGTAACATTGATATAAGGGAATATATATTTAAAAAACAACAACAAATTAACTTGAACTTTAACATAATTTTAGTTATAGACTAAATTGTTTTGTGTTGTATACTGAGTAATCAACACTACAGTTCATCTCAACAAATAAAATTAGTTAAAGTTTTATCTCATTTAACACTACATGATTGATTAAAACTGAATTGGCTGCAGCTAGGTTACTTTACATTGTACTTTTTATTTGTAACCTTAAAAATTAGCCATAGGATGTACAGTGTTAGATAGTTATTAAGAGGACAGAGCACTAGCTGTCCATTAACATGGTTAAATTGGAGGAGATAAAATTTGATAACTTGTTTTCAGGAAATCAAAGCAGCATCTTTGAGGACATTGACTTCAATTATTCATTTGGACAGAACCCCAAAGTAAGTAAATTATGAATTTATTTTTTTTATATTTGCCTTAACCCTATTACTGTAGTTAAATTTATTGTTAAGTTATCTTGTTAGAATTATAAACTTGATTTTTTTATTCCAAATAATGTATTCAGTGATACTCTGTATGATTATTCAGCTTTCTCAAGTGTTTTGTGTAAGTCCATTTTGTTTTTGCACATAAAAAAATTACTTTTGTGAAGCTTGAAAATATGTCTGTCATCTGTTATAGTTCTTAATCAAGTACTTTGTTTAAATGTATTTAAAAATTATCATTTAGTTCTTTTACATTTGTTTGTATTATGAGTATGTTCATAAAACTTGTATCTACACACATTTTTATAGGTTAAATTCAATCATTGATGCAACAGGAGCTTCATCATACCATGGATTTCTTCCAGTATTAGTTAGAAGTTGCATTCAGTCTTTAACTGGTAAGAAAAATACTCCAGTGAAAACTATGTATATATATAAAAGTAGTAAGCTGTGGTAAGTGATAGGTATTTGTTGATAAGTTATGTATGTTAAAAATGCTGATGAATTATGTGTATTAATAAAGAATCAAGTCCTACATTTGAACAGTACTAGTTATTTCAAATATGTATCCAAGCTTCTTCCAGTATTTATTTCATTTGCTTCATGGGGATGGGGATATAATGTATGTATGTGCCATTTGCCACACAGGTCAACTGAAAACAAGCTATCAGAAAAGTTGCCCATGCTATGTGTGGCATAAAACATAACTTTCGTTTGACATCAACTTCATTGAAATTACTGCCAAACTTGTCTATTTGTTCATTTCAACTGGATCTTTTAGGGGATTCATTTTAGTTTTTCTACCAAATTTCATCAAAACTTTTTTCTTCTTTATAAATAATCATATATACAGCATGCTCTTTCAATACTATTATAGATTAAATCAGGGATTTGAGATATTGGTTGAAATTTGAATTAAAAGATGGCATGTTTACAGCATTAAGCCATCTCAGATTTGCATTTAAAATGAACACTTCTAACACCATCTATGAAATAAATTATACACTAAAGTTGTAAATAAAATAGTTCAGGAACAATGTCAGAAAGAAAATGTTGCTTAGTAAGAGAAAGAAAAGTAGATGGATGGCATGATAAAATCAATAAAGCTTAGCAAAAATTAGGATAACTTGAAAAACAATTGACATGGTGAAAAGAAGCTCCTGAATAAGCAGTTAAAAAGACAAATTGATGCTGAAAGACAAGTAAATGGGG